TTTTTTATCGCCACCGTAAGTCACGCGACGAGCTCTTTCTAGTTCTTATATATATTTGTACGTATAGTGCGCTCTGAGGCCGTGTGCACATACATAGACCCGTGTGATTTATTTTTCAAATTGGAAGTTTGTTGGCCACTGATTCGATATACTCGCTGGAATTGGCTGTTTTCAGACTACGATGTAGACGACGGCTACGACAGTAATTTCGAGCTTTTTGTGCTCGCGTAAGAACGATATGGGCAAAGAGCAGCTCACAAGAGCAATGAGAGATAAAGGTAGTTTATATCAACGATTGATTATGGCAACTATTATATCAAGACTCGAATGATTCGGTCCGGAGTACTTTTTTCCTCTCTATATAGTTGCAAGCTCACAGAAATACCGCGCGAAATCCCTTGAAAAGGTCTCGCACGACTTTCTCGTATTATATTAGCCCTAGGAGCCACTCTGAAACGAGCTACTGCATTATATATAAGCTAAAAATCTGAGGGTTCGAAGGAGAAAGAGTAAACAGTCTGATAATCCATGCGGCTGCGCAAATACTTGACTGATGGAAAATCCAAGTATTGTTTTCTGTATATGACTGAGTCGTGGTGAGCGCATACATCGGTAGCTCGAAATGGAGCTTTTTTGTAACAAAAAAATACATTTCAATGCTTAGCCGAGCTTCGTGAGAATATTTGTTTTTATATGATTTTATAGCTGAAATGTATACGTAACGAAAAAAGCTTTATCGACACCGTCCGATCGAAGCTTGCGTGAGCAAAAGTGACAAGGGACCTCGCAAATTAATTTGACTAATGAATGCGGCGCATGCACGCATACGTGATAAATCCATTATATATACGCATCTGTACAGCGTACATGTAGGAAATATCCGGCTAAGCAAAAGCCAACTACAAACTCATAAACAATAGCGTCGAAGCGCACAAAAAAATTCATCGTTGCGTACGCGCGCGTACGCTGCTTGTTTTACGATCGCGACGGCAAATATACGCTTGACGTATGGCGCTTGTACACCAACCTGTATTATAAGAAGATTCGTGCGAGTTTTTTATAATAAGCGGTTTTTGATTATTCACAAAAAAAAATTTTTCGATTTTTTTTCTCAATGTATTTTTTGAATGCAGGGGAGCAAAGTTGAAACAGATTTACTAGCCTACTAGGAAATATCTCTGAGGATACAATGGCTCTATTCGATACAGTATTCGCGAATCGTATTCTTTTATCGTATCACTTCTGGTACGCATCTGCAAGCATGATTCTTACACGTACTACTCACACGTAAAAATTCTAAATATCATAAAAATTTTGCTTTGAAAAAAGCTCTCCATGAGCGAAAAAAGGGTTATAAAATTTTTACAGCTCCGTTGGCCTTTAAATTTTGTTTTTATCATCACTTGTCTCGATTTCCCCGCGGATATTTGCTCGAGCATACAGACACGAATGCGCGTTAAAATTGAACTAGAAAAATCGGCTTTCACATAGAAAATCAAATTCGAATTGTCACCGCTACGCGAAGCGTTGACTCCGAATCGCCGCCCATGCTCTCGTCAATTAAAAAACAATTCGAGCCATAGCTCGCTGCTCTGCACCTTTATGCAGCTCGATTATTCTCTCGGTTTCTCTTCATAGCTCAACTAATCGTTTGTGACCGCATGCAAAAGCTGAAAACTAAGCGAGATAAGTAGGCGTCATATTTTTATGATTATTTATATTTTATTACACTTCTACACTAGCGATGTCTCGAAGTCAGACCCGGAGAGAAAAATCATCGCGCAGATAAAGCAACTAACTGCTCTTTCTGCTTGAAATTATCCATTGCACTCGCACACATAAACATTCGCACAGAGAAGCAATACGCTTGATATTGGCTATTTGCGGCCATACTATACTTCACGCAGTATTAAGCCGCTCGCAGGCTAACTGTCTACCTCCTTTTTCTCTTTTCCCCTCACTGTGTGCCAGTGTATGTGCGTGGGTGTGCGGGTGATGCTAGCAGCCGAGTGCACAATAGACGGATTATAGAGCAGTTGCAATACCGCGTCCGCAGGCAGTAGCACTGCATCTACCCGGACGCTGTAGAGAAAAATAATAACGTGATCGAGTGACTAATTAACCCTCAAAATATGAAATATAGATTCCACTGCATCAACTATTTACTTGCATCTTGCCAAATCCTGACAGCATATAAAGTATATTTTTGGGGATGATGTGTAATATGCCTATTTTCCTATACCTTTGAACATTGAAGGCTTGAAGATTGATTGACATCGATGAGTACTTTTGAGTACTTGAATCGTTGATACCATGAGAGTAAATTTTATACTCTTTTACGATGGATACTATTTATGAAAACATATTAAAAATTCTCTGATCAGAAAATTTAAAAACGAAAATTTTAATATACTTTTCGAGAGTAATGTTGGTTTTGATTTTGAAGGTAGAAGAGGTAGAATATTCAAGTCAAATAAATATATTAACTTTTTTTTTTAATTTTTACCAAACTTTCATTTAAGTTTCCATAATATTCAAATAGCAAATCAATTGAAAGAAACAAGTTATTTTCTAAAAAAAAAAAAAAAAATGATTTTAAAAAGTCCACAATTAATACATCGAATTTTATACGATAACAAGAGTCCCTCTATCAAGCGAAACACAAAACGAACACAAAATGAATGAAATAAATAAATTAAATTAATAATATTATGATTACTTTGACGAAATATTTGATTGGCAGACATACCAAGTAAATATTTCACAAAATTGACAAAATGCTTTTGACAAATTACTTGATTCATCATGTTGATGAAACTAGTTTCATTTAAAATTTTGTTATGAAATATTTCATTGGTATATGCCAAGTAAATATTTCACTAAATTGACGAAATGCTTGATTGTTAGGACTACTTGATTTATCAAGTTGATAAACCTAGTTTCATTCAAAATATCGTTACTAAATATCTCATTGATTTAATTATCTGTAATAAAAAATGAGCGTAATGTTTTGCCGCTAGAGGGCATTCGGCAACAATTTTTTCGTATCCACAAGTGACGAAATATCTTTTATAGATTGGTATAAAAGGAAGGTTCATCTTTGAACAAGTAAACAAGCGAACGACCCCATAGTAAGCGTTAGTGTCGCGTTATCGTTTACAAGCGTGTAAATGTTTTAGGTTATAGAATATATATGTTAAAATAGTGTGAAAAAATTTATAAAATTATGTATAAAAAATAAAATAAGCTCTTTAAATCTAACATTTAATAATGACTGTTAAATGATAACAGCATGAAAGAGTTCAAAGAAGTCAAAATCAAAACACAAGAGTTTATTTTATATTCTATTTAAATATAAAATAAAATCAAAAAATTATTTTATTAAAATTTTCGAAATATTTTATCAACAAAGAAATTGATTTTACAAAAAATATTATTGCTAGAATTAAATTGTGTTGCAATGAATTAAATTATTTTGACAATTCAACTAAATATTTAGTTGACTCGGTTATATGTCGTGTATTAAAATTCAATTTAATAGTTTGTTTTTTATTAAATATTTTGTAAATTTTAATAGAATATTTCATAGAAACAATGAAATTAATCAATTTCATTGCTTTGCTCGCGATTGCCCGTGAAGGAATAACTTCATTGAAATAATGAAGCCTTGGTTGATCGGGCCAAATATTTTTCTCAGTGTACCCTGTAGCTTATTTACAAATCATCAAACGATCGCGGCTACATTTTTTTTATTAAAAGCCGTATTCATGCGTCACCATTGTTCAGAGGGAGATTAACCATGTAATTGGAAGCGAGTGAGTATTTAGATATCGCCAAAGGATTATTGCAAGATCCTTTCTTAAAAAAACCATGTGATAAAATAAAAAAAATCATTTTACGGTTGTGTAAACCATTAAAAACCCAGACACTCACCCAGGACGTACTTTTTATTATATACGGTTTTGAAGGGCTACTCTCTCGAATCAGACGGATGATGAATTCAGGAATGCATTTTATTTTGAGCTAAATTACAAAATTATTTTGAATATTAATCTGCAAACCTTCTGTGTTTTCCTGTATTAACTTTTAGAGGGCTGAAATTCTCTCGTGGTCTTCAGCTCCACATGGGGTCTAACTCACCAACGTTACAACTTAGTTTGGCTCTAACTCAGAGATCTTAGAACACATTCCTACAGAAAAATGCGAATTTCAACCTTTTTCAAACTCCAGCCCTTAAAAGGTTTAAAGCAGTTTACAATTAAAATTCTAAATTTGTGTAATTTGTATTATGAGAATCTATTATTTGCGAAATTATCTTGTCAGGATTTTTCAATCGTATAAAAATAAATCATAATTTAAATTTTAAACCCGTTGAAATTCGAGAAATATTTTAATAAAATTATATAACCCCAAAATAGACAATAAAATCATGTTACAAAAAAATTGAATAAATATTCAAAAAATATTCAGTAATTGGAAACCTTTATGAACGCAAGACATAATACTTTGATTTTATTCCACAAACAAATTCTTCCTAATCTATTTGATATAGAATATTCCATGTAGATTCTGAAAGATTATCATAACAGTCTACTACCTCTGTGTTGATTACTGTATGATGAATTTTCAAAGAGAGGGGGAGAAAAAAGAAAACTTTTCGATTCAGTATCCAAAGTTAATAGTTTTTTTTCGGTACGCGTAAAAGAAATAAAGAAAAGTTTTGCTTTGTTGCCGAGTGAACTTAAAAGTGCTGAATTAGCTAGCTTAAGAAATATATGTATACATCTACACACACAGAATAACGTTTAATTACAAAAGTTTTGCAAAATATATTCAGCCAAGTTTAATGTACACGAGCAACTTTTAGTCGATCTTTACACGCACATATATAAAAGAAGTCGCATAAAAGAGACATTCATCTCGTTTCCAAAATTTGATTTCATTTTTTACAGAAAAAAATGTCGAGCCTCGATCGAGTCACGAGCGTACATGCAAATAAAAAGAACAGCGACATGGTCTAGTTGGCGGAATCGTTAATTTTATCCTGTAGCATTGAGCAGTCCGACCACGTAATTTCCGCCGATTTCAACGGCTCCGCGTCCAGTCTGTATTGCAAGCTTGGCGACGTCCTGCACCACGTTGATTTCGCCGATTACGGTATTCTTGGCAGTGTCTATGGCTCCGTTAACGACTCCTTGAGCAGTGTCGACGACACTCGTAACTGCTTGACGAGCCGCGTCGAGCACCTGATCGACCGTCGCTTCTAATTGCATCTCTGCGTTGCACTGCAATCATTTATTCCTTTCTATTGTGATTTGCGCAACAAACAAAGCCACCGAACGCGTCCGTACTTTTTTAATAAATGAGCATGTCGAATAGAAAATATATGCGCTCAAGTCACCGAGTGAATAAAGCATATCAAGTATCAACTTGCAAAGTAGTTGTCAAATTTGCGTTGAGGAAAGTTTGAAAAAGATGCGCGCAGTGGACTATAGCATCCTAGCGAATACTTGTACAAGCGTGCAACTTTCTAACTTTGAAACAAATTTCGCGAGCGCACAAAGTTTGTCGAACAATATGATCATCATGCTAAACTTTCGTGACATTGATCCATTTTTCAAAGCAAGTGAAAGAATAACACCGTTAAATTAGAAACGTGCTCTGTACTGGCCTGTTTATGTTCAGTGTATACTCACTCTCGGTTCGAAATAAACAACAGAGAATATAATCAGATGAAGGCAATTAATCTTGAAGAGATGCACCATATCGTCGACTCGATTTTTCGACTTTTACGCGAGTCAACGATAAAAATGCAACTGTTGGAAGCGTCGAACTGCGCAAGTTTATAAGCACGCAATACTTTTGCGCATAACTGCCATTGTTACATACACGTCGTTTCGCGTTTGAATCGAATGATGACAAGTGGCAGAGCAATTTTTGCAATGAAATTTTCTCTCTCTTCGTGCACGTGACGTTTTCCAGTCACGACAATTTAACGGTTGTGCTTTTGCGTATCCACATCTAAACCGAGGTAGTTGGATCTTTTTTTCGTCCCGGCCAAGCAGGAGAATGAACTCGGGTGCTTTGATGTTTATATGCGTGTTTACGTAGTTGCCAAGTCACGCGAGGAATTTCGACCGCTGTCTGCAGGATTGTACGCTCGTAGCGATAAGTGTCAAGGCCAGTGAAATTACCGCTAAGTATTATTAGGGACAATTCTCTATTTCCACGCGATGGCACACTTAAAAAGAGCTCTTCCGTCTCCGCTCATAGTGGGGATTGAAATTTAAAAAATCTACATTTTCTACGTAAAAATTTAACAGTTTGACCAAAAAAAGTTGATCCGCTGTTGTATATATGCAAGAGCACGAACTGGTTTGAATCAATAAGTGCAATATAATGAATCAGCCGAACATTTTCGAAGCGAACTCTTTTTTCTCTCATATACGTATCTGTCGACAAAGTTTCATATACTTGAACGCAGTAACATTCGCAGCACTATCACATATCACAATTTCACGCCTATAAAATTCTTGACATGTAACGTCCTTCCATCACATACATCAGCACTGGCCTAGCCCTCTCTTTTTCCAACTCGCAAACGCATATATAATACTGCGCGCACTCGCACGAATACATATGAAAATCATTGGAGCGTGCGGTAGCTTCAATTTTTCAGTGTCCCCGGATGTTTCGTCGCCGAGCAATTTTTTATTTCGCGCGCGCTTGATATTTCTACAGCCAGTGGCAGTGGCCATCGCAGATGGATACATTTTTTGCAAAATCCGATTATTTAATTTCATATATTTTAGAGCTGAATCTTTAGCTGCGGTGTCGAGCGACGAGCTTGGCGTTTCTCATTTTTGCCCAGAGCGACAAATGATCGAATATCAAACATCGGAAGGTAGCTTTGCGCGGCGGCTGCAGTGCGAGCGCCGCGCCGTAAATCAAGCTTGCGCCGCGATGGTTACAAACCGCAAATGCGAAACTCGACAAAACCTCGGACGCGAGCATCAACGTCAGCTGCTCGTGTAGCGGCGGCGCTGCGCGAGGGGGACGCGGCGAATAGCAGTAGTTGCAGAACAGGCCGATAGCCTCCAGGGCTGGAGATCTTGCCTGTCTCTGGTTCAGGGGCTGTTGCTGGCGTTGCTGCTGGGGGTGTCGTTGCTTTTTGCGGCTTACGTGAGAAATGGCCGGGGCTTCCGGCAGCGGCGGAAATGGAGCGCTTTCTCGCTGGGCCGAGCTCCGAGCTCTCTCGCGCGCTATGGCTTTTAAATCTTCCTCGCTCTCTTCCTCCGTGGCTACTTGGCTCTGCGTACGCGCGCATCTCTGCGTGTCTACATTATATACACACACGTGCGCTACTTAAACATTATTACAAATACAGCCGGGCAGCTCGCGAAGCTTTATTAAAATTTACCACTGGCAGGGCGCTCGGACCTCAGCCATTATCATTGTCTTGATGAAGAAATTGTGGTGAATTGCCGCGATGCGGCTGCATGTGTGCCATGCACCGGAATTTGCTCGGCTTGTTTGACAAGACGTATAGTACCTCCCATGGCGGATATATTACCGCGCCTCGCACTTGAATATTTTAATATGTTTGCAATAATTACATCAGATCCACGCGCGCCCAGCTCCATAATGCAAACCACCAGCTCGAGTATTTGCAAATAAAAGAAATAAAAGGGAAGAATGAAGAGGAAAAGTTCATTAACAAATGCAAAGAAAAATACACTCTGTAAAGGAAAATTTTTAATAAAGCCCAAGACTTCTTTACTATCACAATCACGAAGCGGGCGTCTAGAGAAAAAACGAGAGAGAGAGAGAGAGAGAGAGAGAGAGAGAGAGAGAAAGAAAAAAAGTGCTCGAGATAATGGTTTTTCATTACGACGCGCGCGAGACGACTGTTTCTCCTTAGGCTCGGCTTGCTGCTACGCATCGCTCCCCGTCGCTTTGTGTCATCGCAAATTTCTACCGCAACGGAGAAATGCTCGAGTAAAAGGCTGAGAAAGAAGAGAAGAAGAAAACGTCGATGAAGCCAAACACGCCTGGCTTGCTTATTATTGTTTTGCCAGACGTATTGGGTAACGCAAATAATGTACCTACTATGTTTATAACACTCTGCACCATGACAAAATGGAAAAATGAGCGATTCTAAATACCCGCGTGTTTTTTTATCGAGCATTCGTTTTAATTAGCTCATGTCTAAGCGAAAAAATTTGGAATCATCAATATATTAATAAAAAGTGAGTAAAAACGAAGTCGATGAAACGTGTACTTGGAACATTTTTAGGTCACGAGCATCTGACATATATTTACTAAAATATATTTGCCAATTTCGATTAAATTTCTTCGAGCATGCAGACGCTTGGCCGAAGCGCAAAAGTTGCGGTAAAAAAGTATAGTTTCGAAAGCCAAGCGAAAAATCTTTCTCATGCTGGCGCTAGCTCTCGTCCGAGGGTTCGATTCTTTCCGAAGGAAAAGTTGATTCACGAAGAACTTTTATGGACCTTAGCGAACTAAATTCACATACACACACATCAAGCGATGTAGATCTTTGAACTCACCGATGGTAAGCTAGCGCGTCGGTGGACCTCCTGGCAGGATCGAGCTTAAAGCGCGGAAATCAATTATTCAAATGCGCGGCTTCCCAGCGCGAGCATTGCTCGAGAGCAGCTAGGAGATGGCGAGAGAGAGAGAGAGAGAGAGAGAGAGAGACAGAGTTCTAACTTGAAATTACGATATCTTGCGCGTTCGAGTCACGATTTGAAAGCGCCACGGACGCATGGCTCTGAAAGCAAAATGAGCTTTTGTGCATGGCAGTGGAAGGCAGGGGAGGATTATGTACATTTAGCTTGACTTACATGCTTATATTTCCCGTCTCCGGTTTATCGTTGCTTTAAGGGGAAATAATGCGCGCGCGTCGCATTATTGTGCAATATACGCGTGGGCAAATTCCCGAAAGTCGAGTTATTTCAAAGGCGTGAAAATTTTTTTCGAGCGGAATAAAATTGCATGAAAACATTCTGGAATGAGAGGAAAGAAATGTATACTTGGTGCGCATGAAAAAGAACGCAGCCGTATTCGCTTTATTGCGAGTGAACTCGATTTCAAAGAAGTCATTGAGTTCCGTAGCTGCGCGTAATATTATTCAAGCATTGTGGCAGCCGGGATGTACACGCACGTGCATGTGGATGCAGTCAATACGTATATGCCAATTACTCGCAATTCTTGATACTATGAAGCCTCGCAGTGCTGCATAGCACAAAGCGAGCCTGAAGGGGATGCGTATCATTGTCCAGGGCCGAAGTGCTGCAAAACTTTTCTAGTGAATACGTGAAAGGAAAACCCGATTGTATCGGTAACATTTTGCATACTAATAACGCCCCGGTGTGCGTGAGAGCTGCTGTTCACGTTCATATTTATATACGTGCGAAGCGGAATTGTGCCGAGCGAGAAAAATGAGGCTTGTTTTTTTCCTTTCCAATGTAGCTCGCCGGTGTAAAAATTCATATCGCGCGATACGCTGTGAAAATGTAATTCGTTTTTTCCTCCTCGTATCGATACGACAAAGTATAAAGTTCGCTTACAGTAATTAAAACTCTATTCAAAGAGGAAACATCGTCAGCTATTTTAAAAAAGAGGATAGTCTTGCTAAAATTAATAACGTAAAGCATAAAAGTGAATATGAGATTAACGAATGTCATAGCTGCTACATCAGTAGAGAGCATTGTTCTTTCTCATTCTTTTCGAAAATTAAACTTCAATTTAACAAGCCGGAAATATTAGAAAATGTGAGCGTATATATGTGCGCTTCGCACGCGCGTCTGACCGCATACAGTTATTTTCACTGAGAGTATATAGCGCAGCAGTAGCACCAACAGTCTCGACCGCGTTCGCTTACTAAATACTAGTAAATGTGCGATCTTCGTGATTTAATTGACCGTCAGACTGCACATTCGGGCCGGCAACTATTAGTGAATCAACGCGCGTCTATATATACGACCAAATCATGCAAAAGAATGCGAGAGAGGCAAATTTTACGAATGGCGAGAATATTATGAACCCGATGCGGTAATGAAGATTTATTGCAACCATTGCTACTCACGTGCGAACGATGAAATGGACAAAATTAAAGGATGAATTTGATACTTGCATATACAGTTTGTGCAATCGAGCGAATAAATTTACGAAATAAAAATGTACAAAATATATCTATATCCATATATCTATATATACAGGCAGCTTCGATACGAGGGGCGAAAGAAAGAGCAATTTGCCCTATTAGCCATTCGCGCGTGAAACTTCGTACCGTTAATTGGACTTTTCCCGAGGCTGCAGCTGCAGAAACGAGCGCACACCGGTGTCTTTTTTCCTTCTCTTTGCACAAACGAAATCCTCTCTATGACGAATTACTCTTGCAGGCTAATTCGCTTACACCAAAGCAGAAACAAAGCGAGATTATGAATATTATTTAACGATATTTTCACCCCGCGCCTCAGACCCTTTTTCTGCCAAATTGAATCTGTCAACTGGATGGAGATGCTGGTGCTTCTTTGAGCTACATGTGCGAGTTCACTTTGCCTAATGGAAGTGTAACTTTTATACTTTTGTACTAATGTTTTTTTTTACGCTTTTATGATTTAATTTTTTGTTAAACTCCCGTTCATCACACTTGAAAAAAGAAATTTAAATTTGATTCCGGCTATTTATGCTATTCGTCAAGGACATTTTCAAAAGCTAATAATTTTTTATCAATAAAAATTTGGTCAATT